TATATATATATATATATATATATAATTTTCTTGTAATTTTCAAATCACGTTTTTTATGATTGTCTACTGTTGTACTGATAAATATCTCCTGGAGGGTAAACTATATCTTGACTGCAAGTATTAAGCTGAGAAATCCTTAATTTTCTACAACTGATAGCGGTTGGTCATTAATTACAATGAAGTTTAGCAACTTCTCGGTAAACATTCGAGCTCCGGGGCTTCAGCGATGTGTTTTTCTTGTTCAGTCCAAAGCAAGCGGTCTGATCTCAGTCAGCTGTGCTCAGTCTGCCTCTCCTCCGACACGGACAGACTGAGAAGGTCAGACTGAGCGTGGCTGACCGAAATCAGACTGCCTTCTCTGGAGTGAATGAAAATATCACACCGCTGAAGCCCCGGAGCTCGAATGTCCATCGTAAAACTAACTTTTCTGTGATTTAATGTGATGCTGTGGCTCTGCAGACATTGCACGTTGCTGTCTTGTTTTGTGGTGTTTAGTGTAAAATACTTCCACACAGCGGACATGTTTAGATGAAAAGTTGGTTAGCCGTTAGCCACAGTGCTGCTAACTCAGTCCTCACGTTATAGCTGGCTGCAAACTATGAAATGGATTTCCTGAATGTGAGGCTGGTCTTATTACTGTCTGGATTCATGAGACACGCCGCCATTCAGGAAATCCATTCCATAGTTTGAAGCCAACATGCATCACGGATCGGAAATCTCTGCAGGTTGGATCTAAAAATCCGATACGTAAATTATGCTGGTATCGGAGCCCGATACCGATACTGGATCGGATCGGCCCCTTCCTTAAATATAAGTAAGAAGGTTTGAGCAAAACACCAAAATGTCTATAAATCCATCATTTCTCAACGTGAGATGATTGTAGTTTAAACTGGCAGGAAAGACAACAAGGGATATGCATTCTACAGAGGCACGCTATGCTTTTAATTTAGCTATGCAACTGAAATATTCTTAAAAAAAATAGACGTGTCTTTGTACAAACAGTTTTTGCTGACTGAAGAAGTCTTTTGGATAAAAGATGAAATGGTTCAAAGATGAATCCATCCAGAGTACCTGACTCAACCTGGTTAAATTAATCTACCTGGATTATTGAGCATACATCAGGACATTTTTGTTAATTCGTTTGTATTTTTGAGCAATTTCTTAAAAAATAATGGAATCTAATCCTAAATTATAATGCTATTCAGGACTTGGTCAGTCTGCTTCT